GTTATTAAGATGTTCTTGGAACGAATTTCCCATAATCATGACATCATCCAAATATACCAGGCAAGTTCTCCATGTAAGGCCTCGCAAAACAAGATGCATCAGTCGCTCAAACGTAGCTGGAGCATTACACAATCCGAAAGGCATTACATTAAACTGGTATAGCCCGCTTCCGGTACTGAAGGCAGTTTTCTCTTTGTCATCGTCATGTATTGCCACTTGCCAGTATCCACTTTTGAGATCCAAGGTGGAAAACCATTTGGAGCCCGATAGAGTTATTAGTGTATCGTCTATTCTTGGGAGAGGGAAGCTGTCCTTCTTGGTGACGTCATTAAGCTTTCGGTAGTCCACACAAAATCTAAGACTCCCATCTTTCTTCGTAACCAGTACTACTGGCGCGGACCATGGACTATTTGACTCTTCAATGACTCCCTCTTGAAGCATTTTATCAATTTGGTTTTCCACTTCCTGTTGCTTAGCTAGTGGCATACGTCGTGGTGGTTGTCTAATTGGGTGTGCCAATCCAGTATCAATTTTGTGTTGAATTAAGCTGGTTCGTCCGGTTTGATTGTCCATCACAAATACGTCTGCTTCTTTCAAAATGAAATCTGTGGCTTCTTGAAGTCTATCTGGATCGAGATGTTTCCATGATTTCGCCAAAGTCTGCATCAAGGTGTCTGTATCCAATTTGTATTTCACAAAATGTCGCTTATCTGGTAGGTCACAGTTCGATATTTGCTTCACTGGTTCGAGAGCTCCAATAATGTCTCCTTCTTTTATTCTTACTGTTTCGGAAGAAACATTGGCAATTCTTATCATAATGTCTCCATTTGTTCTTACTAGAGTCTTTCCAACAAGGTTCTCGAAACTGCCATCCTCTTTTGATGATTGTTTTTCCTTTGAGTCCTCAATGGACACTGCTCGTATTCTGGGTCGTGAGGCACCAAAGATTGCTTCCAGTTCTAATGCTCGGACAAGGGCTTCGCTACTTTGTCTGAACTTGGACATTCTTAGGTTTTCCTGGATCTTCGAATCTCTGAGACCATCAATAAACGCAGATACTGTCATCCATTCCTGCATGTCTTCCCCAGCTGCAGGAAACGCCAAACTCACTAGCCTTTTAACTTCCGATTCGAATTCTTGTAGACTCTCGCCGGGTTTCTGAACTCTTGATTTGACTTGAGTTCTGAATACTTCTTGTCTGTAATGGTCTCCGAAGCGAAGTTCTAAAGTTTGACTTAGATGCTGGTAATTCTGTTGGTAGACTGAAGGAATGGACTGAAGAAGGTCTAAGGCAGGTCCTCGTAGCGCCACTATTAGTGCTGTAGCTTTTTCTTGGTCGTTCCATCCATTGGTGTTTGCAGCAGCTTCAAATTGTCGAATATACATGGTCCAGGATGTAGAACCGTCAAAAGTTGGTGGTTTTATCTTCATACTGGAGAATGCTCCAACACTAACTGGATTGATGGACTGTATCTCTAATTTACGCACCTTATCTTCGAGTGCTTGAACTTGGTCTTCCACTTCTTGTCTTAATTGCTGAACATCGTCTTTAACTTCTTGAACATCGGTTTTGACTTCAGCTTTCACTTCCTGAACGTCGTGTTTAACTTCTTGCACATCGTCTTTAACTTGTTCAATCTTCTGGTCTAGGTCAGCGACAGTTCCTTGTATGGTTTGGAATATTTTCTGCAGTCTTTCAAGGTCCTCCTGCCGTTCCTGTTGTCGCTTAGCTTCTTCTTGTTGTCGCCTAGCTTCTTCTTGTTGTCGCCTAGCTTCTTCTTATTGTTTTTCTTTTTGTCGCCTGGCCTCTTCTTGTTGTCGTCTAGCTTCTTCTTCTTGTTTTTCTTTTTGTCGCCTGGCCTCTTCGTCTTGTTTCTCTTGTTGTCGTTTAGCTTCTTCGTCTTGTTTTTCTTGTTGTCGTCTGGCTTCTTCGTCCTGTTTTTCTTGTTGTCGTCTGGCTTCTTCGTCTTGTTTTTCTTGTTGTCGTCTGGTCTCTTGAAGCTTCAACATTTTGCGCAGAAGTTCTTCAACTTTTTGTTCGTCCATTTTGGCTTGTTGTCTTGTGATAGGCATATACAGAATGTTCTAGAATTTCCCTCGAACTTTCTTCAAATATCTTTTCTGGTCTTTACTCGAAGTTCCAAACACGCCGGTGAAGTCACAAATTGGATAACTTGCTTTATTCTAGAATAGAATGTTCTGGAATTTTCTTGAAACTTCTTTTCTAGATGTCGATTGATACAGTAAACACGTCGGTGAAGTCACAATTTCGATATCTCCCTTGGTTTCCAAATAGAATGTTCTAGAATTTTCCCGAAACTCCTCGAAAAACCTCTTTTGAATGACGATTGATGTTCCGAATACGTCGGCGAAGTCACAAATTCGATATCTCCCTTAGTTTCCAAATAGAATTTTCTAGAACTCACTCGAAGATTCACTATCACAGTCTAAATCGGGTATAGAGTCACTTCCGGGGTAATTCACACGATCGATTAAGTCTCTTTTTGTGATTGTCACTGTTTGCACTGCACTAATCGTCCCAGTGTTCACTAGTGTTCAGTTTTTACACTACACTAGTGTCCCCACACTTCCGCAATTGGATTTCACTTTGCAGTCTTTTATATCCCACTTCTGGCACCAGTGTCACGGCTTTGAGTTGCCTGACAGAAATCTTGGGTTCGTCGTTCGTTTCGTTTATTCCAAAAATCAAAGTCCAATTAACACAGCAATAATTTATTTCACTTAACAATACACTCTGACACTAATTACTTTAATAACCAACTCAACAATTAAACTCAATAATCACTATTTAACTCGTATCACAGTCAAACTTTAACTTAACTTACAAATCAATGCCGGCCTTCTTATATATCCCTAATTCTATTCCTGTAAAATCTAGAATACACACGATAATCTAATTTTCCAGATAAAAGTAGAATAATTCGCTAGATTCTAGTATTTTCACCATCGATTCTTGACAGCCTGGCGGACGATATCGTGACAATATGGTTATAATAATTAAGTAGGAAATAAATAAATTTCCAGAGGTCGTTTTTTTTTTTAATGGGAAGGGATCAGTTTCTACAAGTTTCTTATAGCAAAAATTAATAGTTTTTTTTATTTTGAAGCGGTCCATCCATAATTTGAACTTTATTGTCGTCAACACTCAACACATAAGTTATCCATTATTTTCCTAGGACCATAAAAGTCTTTATGTATTGGGTGTTTCGATCTATTTTTTCTCGCTAGAGACAGCAGCGTCATTCAGCGCTTTATTCTTTCTTCCAGGGGCCCGATTCTCGTCTCAGGGAGTAGAGCTCCCCGAGGGAACAAATTTTTCGTCTTCATCATTCTCGTTTACTTTTCGATTACGTTGACAAGGACCAAAAATTCGTTCTATCGGGGACCTCTACTCCCTGAGACAAGAATCGACACCCTGAACAAACCGCATCTCGCTATTTTTTCTCGTTTTCGAGATATTTACCTGCAAAATGTGTCAGTTCAACTAAGGGCACCCTGTATAATAAAAACGCCACGTCACAAAGGATAACTCACACCTAACATCGGATTTCTGGGCTCTATGGATTTTGCCTATTTTTTGATATGTCTGATGGCCATTTGCACCGACTATTTTGAGGGAGGCTTAACGATAAGGATACCTTAAAATGACATTTTTACATGTAAAAATGTCACTTCAAGGAACACTTATCATTAAGCCCCCCTTAAAATGGTCGGTGCAAACGGCCATGAGAGGATTTAATTCTTACCAACCTTTAAATGGGACGAAATCTCTGGTGCTACTGGTGTTCAGAGATCTGGTGTTTATCAGTCAAAATATTGACAGGTTCACATATTTTAAGTCACTAACAAATTAATGTCAACCTAGGCTAAGGCCGGAACCGCACTGGCGTCCATGTTGAAAAATAAGGGCGTTCAAAAAATGGATTTAAATATAGGTTATTCCATTTAAAAAAATTACTTTTGTCGTCACAGCGATTTAACGAAAAATCTAATTAAATTTCAAAAAACGTTTTCAAATTCCTAGAAACAAAATACACAAAATGCCAAATGAATCTTGATTTTTTTGAAAAATTTTTTTTTTAGGGAAAAGGTAAGGAGTGTTCACTTCATACTGGATCACCCTGTACATATTTCCTACCATATGAAAATGAGGATCCGGGTCCTTATCCTTGAAACAGGGGAGCAGCGATAATGTAAGTAACAAAGACGGAACACTCGTTCTCCTGGGAATAACGCTGCTCCCCTGTTTCAAGAATAAGGACCCAGCTGGGACTCTGTAACGATTAGAGATATTTTCTCTATCTCTATTGACGTCCCCTCTCTATTAATTTCGAAAAGAGGGGAGAAGATAGCAAGTACCATAGCGATAAGGATTACGATCTCTATCCGTTACAGAGTTCCAGCCCTAAGAGGTTTTGGGTTTTTTGGGAATGCGTGATTCATTGAGCCTGATGGTGGTATTTGCAATGTTGCCAAGTCTACCGTCTCTAAGATGACGTATGTCGCACTTAATTTTTTAAAATGGTCCCTCCTTATTTTTGTTGTAATTAATTCAGCGTCCAAACATTACTAAAAAATTACAACAAAAATAAAGAGGAACTTTCATTTAGAAAAATTAAGTTACATACGTCACCTTAGAAAGGGTAAATTTAGCAACATTGCAAATACCACCTTGAATCGGGTATTCCCAAAACCCCTAGGTAGGAAGTATTGTACATTTTTCTTAAGCGCGTTCAGAAATATTAGGTCGTTTCCATAGATAACGACAACTCTGTATACCAAGTATTACCCTCATTCCGCTCTAATTGAACCCAAAAAAAGAACTAGGTTGAATCGAATTCGCAAAGCCGAGTGTGCGTTGAGTGCGTTCTCAAACTAGTTCCTAACTGCACCGAGTGCAGTAATTTCTAGACATTTACGAGCTATAATATAATCTTAGAATAATGGGTTAATTTGGAATTCTTCAATAAAGTAAAAAATTGAAATTTTCATCACTAACGACAATGGTTTTATTAATAAACAAAAAAGAAACAAATTTTGAACAAAAATGAGCAAAAAATCAAAACAGGTACAAACACGCATGAGATATAAGTGCCTAGCAAGAAGCACTTCATTTTTATTAAGTATTAACTTATGTAGAGATCAAAAATGTCTTTTTGTGCCTGAAACAAATCATTTATTTAATTTTCTAGTCGTCATATTTATCCTAGCATTTTTTATTCTAATCAGAAACAGTTCTAAAACTATTCAATGTTCTAGAAATGGTTCTGATCAATACCAAAAAAAAATTTACTTACAGATCTGAATTAGTTACGTATTAGTACTAATCTTTTTACACTTTTTCCCACTCCAAGCCAGCCCTTTTATAGTCTTATTGAAATGTTTTTGAGATCGGTTACAGCCATTTTCCAAATTTCTGTCCAGAGCATTGAAAAATACTAGAACCAGAATTACCAGAACTACAATTATTATATAGGTGTAAGTTTGCCAAGGGGACAGAGGCATTTCTTCTAATTCTCTGAGCAATTTCATTGCTGGCTCGTAGCCAGGATGGAGATCGAGGGTATGCCTAAAATGGACTTGGGCCTCTTGGTAGTGGCCATAGGCTTTGAATATTTCACCTGAAAGAAATTATATTCAAGTCTATATTTTCTATTCAATGCAATGATTGAAAAATTATATTGTTCTACAATGCACTAATTCTACCTAATGTAAAGTACTGCTGCCATGCTCCTCTTTCTGGAGGGGCGACCTCTAACGACCTCCTAGTTAAATAAATGGCATCGTCAAGGTACTGTAGATGAAATAGGACTTTGGCTAAATTAAGTAGGATTTCGGCGTTGTGGGGCGACACTGATAAAGCTAAAATCTAAACATGAGAACTTGAAAATTTATCAGGAAAGTTTACCTTTTCGAAAACACTCAATCGCTCTTCTAGGGTCGCCTTTTATTCGCCAAAAGTTTCCCAGTTGGTGTAAAGTACCGACTGATTTTGGTTTCTGTAACAAACAAAACTTTTTCAAATTATCCTAGGAAAAAACTCATGGAATGGTATTTGTTAAATACATTCTGAAAACACCTTGTAATCTAATTATTAATATTTTCAATATAGTTTAGGAACAAACTTCCTAGAATGCTCGAAATTTCATTGGCATTTACAAACTGGTAAGATTAAGTAATATGTAATTATTATAAAGTTGCAGCAACGCCCATAAATTTATTTTTAGAATTGGACAATAAGTTTTCGCTTATAAGCTTGAATATCAAGTAATATTGTTAATAGGACTTGGTTTAAACTGATAAAATACACTCATTAAACAATTATGCCATCATATTTAATTATTATCACCATATTTATTATATGGCTAAGTATTACAAGTTTAAAAAAGTTTTCAAGTGCAACTAGTGAAACTATAGTGTTGGCTCACGTAATTTTCCGACATGGCGATCGTACTCCATCAAAGAGCGGCTTATGGAAAACCAACAAATTTTATAACGAATCGTTTTACGAACCTTTTGGTTATGCCCAGTTGACCAACAAAGGAAAAAGGACTTCATACAATTTGGGAGTAACATTGAAAAATCGATACGATGGATTTTTAAATCAATGGACTACTAAATTAGCCGACACATTTTCAACTGATTATGATCGAACTAAAATGTCAGCCTCGTTGGTATTAGGAGGACTATTTCCGCCCACAAAATCAGTGTTATGGAACAGCAGCATTTTATGGCAACCGATACCTTATAGATATGTGCCAGTAGAACAAGATAAAGAGCTATCTTCATGGGCTTGTCCTATGACAGTCCCTTTAATTTATGCTGATGAAGCAAACATAAAAAAACTTCACAGTTACGATGGACTTATAAAAATTCTTCAAAAAAACACTGGAGATTATACTATAGATTATATAAGTACCTTAGATTTATATTTTGGGATGGTTATTCAAGAAGAAATGGGATTTCCTTTGGATAATTGGACTAAAATTGTTTATCCTGAGCCACTAAGATCATATATTGTTGATTTTTATAAAATAGAAACAAGCACTCGGGCACTGAAAACTGTTATGATAGGATATTTAATTAGAAAAATCCTAAACGACTCCATTAACAAAATAAATGGCACTCTCAATCCTCAAGACAGGAAAATCTTTTTATACTCAGGCCATGAAGTGAATGTTGCTACAATAATAACCAGCCTAGAGCTAATTAGTTTGGTAGACATTCCCACCTATGCCTCCTATGTGATTTTCGAGTTACATAAAATCAGTGGGGTACATGGGTTCAAGATATTTTATGAAAATTACAAAAATAATGAGCCAAATTTGTTAACTTTGCCTGGATGCAAACAATTTTGTCCTATTGAGGATTTTATAAGATTAACGGCTGATATCATACCAACAGGGGATGTAGAGTGTTTTGGGAATGAAACAGAAAATGTATAAGAATTGTCTGTATAATGTTTCAATATATTTCAGATTTTATAAAATTTTTACAAGTTTGCTTCTACACTATAAATATTCTGTAAAAAGTTAAACATTTCAGATTTATTAGAAGATCTATCAATATCTATTAGTGATGGTCTCAAGCAAGACGAATTTTGGTGAATGATTATTGAAGAAGCATCACAAAAAGAAATTGAAATATTTAAGTTAAAGTTTATTATTCTGAAAACATGAAATAGATTTATTAAAATTATCACCTACCTCTTTTTTGGTTTGTTTCAATTTGTTCTCTATCACAACCAAATCAAAAGTTTTTCCCACTTTGAGTTTATATTTTTTAACAAATTCTATCACTAGATCTGGCTCCATAAGTGGTGGATGCTTTTCTCTAAAATAGCAATATTTTAGAAATGGCACAATATAAAAGTGAAAATAAGAGTATCAAACCTACAGATTGTGGTATTTACCTGTTCATGACACCAACAAGATTGTCATAGAACGTAAAATTCACCGGTTTTCCGCAAGATAACTCGTGATCGTCATCAAAATGTTGGTTTTGGTCTGTAACTTTTGTACCTGAATAAGTGGCATTCATTTTCGAGTTCCTAAAAATTTATGGTATTTAAAATTGAGAATATTTTTAAATTTTAATTAAATTTAAATTTTTTAAATTAAATTTAAATTTCATTTTATTCACCTTAGATTTACAATGTAAATGTGGCTTTGTCACAATATTGAATCATGATAATAGTAAAAAATATAGTAGTAATAAAAAAATAATAGTAGGCACTTAATAATAAAAAATTAACAATAATAACATCAAGTATTTCAATAAACTTAGTATATAAACAGTCACAACAATTATTATATAACATAGAGCAACCAAACCGCGTTGACATAGAGAGACATAGTATTAAACATTCCCATTTACATTTTTATTCATAAAGTCACTAAAGGAATAGAAACAATTTTCGCAGAGAAATTGCTTCAATTTAACTTTGAATCTTTTTTCAGTCTGTTCAGTCTTTATTTCTCCTGGTAGTCTATTGTAGACCTTTATACATGCATATTGAGGAGACTTCTCAAATAAAGCAGTGCTATGTCGTGGAGGCTAAGTTCGTTGCTTTTCCTGGTAGAATATAGATGATTTTCTCCATTTTTTATAAATCTATCTTTGTTTTTATATACATATATCGCACACTTATATATATAGATGGACGGAAGAGTAAGTAGTTTTTGGTCCTTGAAGGTTGGACTGCAGCTTTCCTGTGGTTTAAGGCCATATATTAACCTTACTATCCGCTTTTGGATGATGAATACTCTACCCACGCCAACAGCTTGTCCCCATAGAATGATATTATAAGACATGTGATGGTAGGCTAGGGCATAGTAAGCTGATAATAGCGCGTGTCTTTCGACGACTTGTCTAAGCTTGAGTAGGGCAAAATAGGCGGAATTGAGTTTGGAGCATACATGATCCACTTGAGTGTGCCATTGAAGTTGTTTGTCAAGATAAGTTCCTAGAAATTTTACAGCTTCTTCGGTTTCCTTGAGCTCAATTTTCGGTTTGGAGTTATAAAAATGTATGGTTACTGTTTTTGAGTTGTTGAGAATAAGCTTATTACTAAAACACCAGGAACTCATATGGTCACAAATTTCATCCAACTTCTTCATCGCTTCTTTTTCGTTATCAGCCGATATAGCTGCAGTTGTATCATCCGCAAACTTAATTGTAAGGCCAGGTAGTTTTAGGTCATTGATGAAGAGCAGAAAAATCAGCGGCGCCAGCACTGAGCCCTGGGGTGCTCCAATATTAACAGAGTGAGTGTCAGACAGATCTTCTCCCAGTCTCACCTGTATTTTTCGCTCTGATAGGAAGGACATTATTAAAGAGAGTGCTTTACCTCGAATTCCAATGGATTCCAATTTTAACCTGACAAAAGCTAAGTCGAGAGAGTCAAATGCTCTGGACAGGTCAAAAAACAATCCAATTACGATTCTGTTTTGTTCCAGTTGTGCGTGGATGTACTCAATAAAATCGTACGCAGCAGTTTCCGTCGATCTTCCAGATCTAAATCCATGTTGTGATGCATCCAAGATTTCAAATCTTTCTAAGAAGTGGGTTATTCTACTGTGTAGTACCTTTTTAAATATTTTTGAAAATACGGATAATATGGATATCGGTCGATAGTTTTCGATATCCGTTGACAGGCCTTTTTTGAAAACAGGAACTACGGTAGCTAGTTTTAAGCTGGATGGAAATACTCCCTCAGAGATTGATTTATTCACTAGTACTTCTAAGGGGTGAGACAACTCAGGACAGACCCTCTTTACCACACTGGTATTTATTCCATCAGGGCCACAACTTGTTTTGTTTTTGAGACCTATGATGATGTCAGCAATTTCTGTTGGAGTCACTGGATGGAGGAAGATGGTGTTTTCGACCAGATGCGAGGTGGTTGGAAGATTCGAAACAGTGGCACCGAAATGGCTTGATATTTTTATTTCCGCAACATTCGAAAAAAATCTACCAAATTGGTTTGAGATTTCTTTATCATTTTTGATTAGGGTACCATCGATTTTGAGGTCGATTTTTTTGGAATGTTTAACTCTGCCCAACTCATCATTTACAATGTTCCATATTTCTTTTGTTTTGTTAGATGACTCTATAATCTTTTGCTCATTAAAATTTATTTTCGCCTGTCTAATATTTTGCCTATACTTTTTTCTCTCTTTATTGTAGTCTTCCTGACCTGCCCTAGAGTTCGTTTCCCTTGTTAGATTATAAAGTTGCTTTAAGTAACTCTTGCTTTTGATTCTTTAGTTCTTCAGTGATCCAGTGTGTTTTTTTGTCTTTTTTATTATTTATATTAATTCTTTTTACGGGGCATGTGGTATCGTAATGTCATTGGAGTGTTTGTAGAAAATTATCAAATGCGGTTTCCAGTTCTGGCATATGAATATTTTCCCAGGTTTCCAGTTTCAGGTTGTTTTTGAACCTGTTTAAATTGTCATGGGATTTTATTCTGATATTTTTAAATATTGGAGTTATTTCGTTTGCAATCTTTGCTGATAGATTAACTTCAAGTCGCTGTAGAAGATGGTCTGATATGTGGGCTTGAGATGACTCGCAAGCTAGAATATTCATTGGAAAGTTCGTTGCCATGTAGTTGATTGATGATATAGATAATCCGTTTTGTGCAGGAAATATTCGTGTTGGACCTAGACAGTGGTTGGTGAGTTGATGTGAGTCGAACATATCTTGCAATATCTTGTATTTTGGATCCTCTTTTTTCATGCTATTTATATTTAAGTCGCCGCAAAGTATAATGTAGTCGAATTTTTTTGCCATTTCTGACAGTATTGCAGTCATTTGACGAATGAAGATATCCAACTTACCATTTGGTGGTCTATACGCTGCTATTATGGCAGTGGGTGTCGCTCTGATTTTTGTTTGAATAGCACAGCATTCAACCTCCATTTCGATGCTATAATTTTTAATCTCTGGGATAGGTTTTCCCTTTAGCGAGTCTTTGGCGTAGATTGCTGTTCCCCCATGTATATGTACCTTCCTGCAATAGTAGGATAGTAGATTGTATCCCCTGAGGACCAAGTTCACGGCTCCTTCTTCGGCTGACCATGTTTCTGTTATACATAAAAAATCCGTTTTCTGCTCTATTGTTGTTAATTCTAAAAGGTTGAGCTTGTTGCTTAAGTTTTGGGCGTTTATGTGGTTAATTACGATTGTATCTGTTTTTATTTGTTTCTGTTTCTGTGTGTTATATGTTTTTGCATTGAAGAACCGACGAAGAAACGGCTCAAATTATTTCAGTTGTGTGTTTGTTTTAGTCAGTTGAACTTGGAACTTTTATGTAAAAACAAGAAATACAATAGCATTTCAGATTTATATATGTACAGGGTGGGCCAATTTGGACACTTTCTTATGGAAACACCCTTTATTTTAAGAGATAGAAAAAAATGAACCGCCCACTCTGAGGCTCAAATTTCATGAAATTTTGATTGGAGCAAACCACATTTTGATATCTTCAACCGTTTAGCCGCTAGAGGGCGATTCTCGATTTTGAGCAATACTGTGAAACCTTCATAACTTTTTTATTTATGAAAATAATTCATTTCTGTAAAGCCTTTCTGGAAGCACTTTTTTAAGTGGAATTCAGTGACGTTCTCAGCTTTTTTCTATTTGGCTCCAATTCCGAGATATTGACTAAAATCCGATTTTTTTCAATAGGACATCCTATATATTAATAGCTCATTGAAAAGCTCTGCTTTTGCTGATTTCAATGATATAAAATTCGATAGGTTTATCTCCAACGGTTTCTGAGAAAATAGTACATTAAAATACAAGTTTCATAAGACGTCATTTTATCGCACGAGCCCTATATTAGAAAACGAGCCGGAGGCGAGTTTTCTAAAGGGCGAGTGCGATAAAATGTCTTATGAAACGAATATTTTATACTATTTTTTCTATTTTGGTATTGTTAAATTTAAAGAAACAAATTTTTCTTGGAAATTTTATTCTCATATTTCCTGATTTCATATGTTTAGGTTGGTAACACTGCATGCCAAATATAGAAATCTTCTATTATAAAATCGCGAATGACAGTTTGATGGCCATCAGTCAGCCAGTGTAACCAACCCCCGATAAGTAAAAAAGGAGTGTCACAAAGAGCTTCTTTTTGAAACTACTTTTAGTGTCGAAAAGATTTCGATATGACACCAAAATAGAAAAAAATAATTTCGATTTTTGTCATAAGACACAATGTGTGGAAAAAAGACTTTATATCTGTAAGGAAAACGAGAAAGGTCTCTTTCTAACACATTGTTTCTTATGACAAAAACAGAAATAATTTTTTTTCTCGAAAACTGTTAGGGATAAACCTATTGAACTTTATATCATTGAAATCAGCAAAAGCAGAGCTTTCCAATAAGCTATTAATATATAGGGTGTTTTATTGAAAAAAATCGTATTTTGGTCAATATCTCGAAATCAGAGTCAATTAGAAAAAAACTGAGAACGTCACTGAATTCTTCTTGAAAAAGTGCTCTTAGAAAGTCTTTACGGAAATCAATTATTTTCATAAGCAACAAAGTTATGAAGGCTTCACAGTATTGCTCAAAATCGAGAATCGCCCTCTAGCGGCTAAACGGTTGAAGATATCAAAATGCGGTTTGCACCAATCAAAATTTCATGAAATTTGAGCCTCAGAGTGGGGTGTTCATTTTTTTCTATCTCTAAAAATAAAGGGTGTTTCCATAAGAAAGTGTCCAATTTGGACCACCCTGTACATTCCTTTAAAAAAAAATTTCATGTTGAGATTTTCCCTTTAAACTCCATATTGTGAAATATTATATTTGAAACCGAAATTTTTGAAAAACGAACAGCGGAAAAATTGAAAAATGATAAAAATTCCTATAATTTCCTTAGCGCGATTTTATCTCTGGAACTATAACTCCAAATGAGCTAAAATTTTCAAGGTTTGCAGTCCTGCGCCACAATGAGATTCTATGAAAATTTCAGAATCCTATCATCTACGATACAATTGATGATAATAATAGGATTTACATAGGTTTCAGAAAATTATCTTCTACCTACCTCCCTTCAAAAATGTTGAATTTAAAAATTTTTCCATGTTGAGATATTACCTTTTAATGATCATTTGGGACCGCTTCGATTATTGTGAGACTTAAAACCGAAATGTTTGAAAATAGTCCAGTTGAGATATGATAAAGTTTCATCCTCCCACCCTTAACGAATTTGTTTCTCTGGAACTAAATTTGCAGGAACTAAATTTGCAGGATTTCTATTTAATCGACAGAGGAGGTAGTCCTTGGGCAAAAAAAAATGTGTTATTTTTTTTTTAGCAAATTTGTATATCTACAGCTCAGTCCACACACCATCAAAATAGTACAAATGGATACCTATGCGCATGTATCACAGAAAAATAGTGATGACTAACTGTTCAGTTTCAGTTCTGCTAAACCAAACTGGCTGTCAAAGGATACATGAGTGTTCTAACTTACTTCGATACTTCCACTCTCTTGTCATCACACCCCTCACAAAAATTATCCTCAGTATGTTTAATCCAAGCATTCCCATGCCTTTCAGTGGAAGTTATAATATTAAACAATGGATCTTCAGCGCCAATATAATGAGGCACTAATCCAGGATCTTCCGGAATATTCTCTGAAGGATCTGCTTCAATTATTTTTGTATGATCTGCATTCAGTTTCCATAATGTTGATGTGCCAGTATTGGTGGTGATTGTTTCGAAACCTATTATGTAGAATATGGCTGGAAATAAGAGAGGCCTATATATTAATCTCAATCAATCAATCAATATATGCTTTATTGTAGGAAGAATAAAATTCTCATTTGCAAAGCGGACATCTATAAGCTACCCAGAAATACTTAAATAAAACTTGGTTAATAAAATCACAAAAAAAGAAAAAAAAAATACAGGTAGATCATTACTACAGCACTCAACTCCAGTAATATCATCATCACTACTATAATAATATCTAAAGCATATTATGCATTAACATATTTCACCTTCTGCCTGAATTTCTTAGTATTCTCTATACTCCCATATGACAGTGGTAGGTGATTGTAAATCTTAAGGCTCTGATATATAACAAATTGTTTAGTGAGAGTACTCTTTGGTATTGGTAATTTCAAGGATCCTTCATTTGGACCATATTGATTATGATTACACAAATAAGGTGAAACTATGCCTTCTGTGTATCATGGTCACCGTTTTCAATATAAAAATGCAGAAGGAAGTTAGTAATTTTTCCCTTATAGAAAGAGGTCTGCAATACTCTTGAGGTTTCGCTCCACACAAGTATCTTAGAGAACTTTTTTGTAATACGAAAACAGAGCGAGCACTAAAGCCTTTAAGCATATTATTTTTTTTTTTGGAAAAACGCTTGAACACATCAATCTTAATTTTTAGTGGCACTGTTTTCAGACTAATTTGTATTTATACAAGGTGGCCCAAAAAAGAGATATCACAAAACACTTCAAATTTTTAAATGGAATGCCCTGTATATTTTGATGAATATCATTAGAGCGCATCAAGATGAATTGTCTCTCTATCGATATTCATCAAAATATACAGGACGAGATACAGGATATTCAATTTAAAAAATTGAAGTGTCATGAGATATTAAATTTCAAATGAATTTATTCATTACTTTACGGACACACTGTATATTAAAACATGAGTGGGCCAAGCACTGAACCCTGTGGCACTCTATACTCAATACCAGGTGCATTAGATTTAGTTGCACCACACTTCGCCACCTGATTTCTTTCTGAAAGGTGTGATTTGAAACAAACCCAAGTAACCCCTCGGAATATTTTGTGGCACTCGGCCAGTACAGTTAATAAAATCTTAGCTCAAGTATTTCCAATTAATTGATAGTTAACCAATATTTAACTGAAGCCTTGCTAATCCAATGATAACAGTACATGATAGTATAGTATTATACAAACTTTGATAGCATTCAAGCATTTTATGGTAAGATTTTCATGATCAAGGAAAGATGTCCCTACACTTAAGCAATAGGTAAAAGTCCTCTAACAGTTTTTCAGTAATAAAAATGTACTGCAAAATTTACTTTCTAAAATTCTGTTCACTGATGAACAGAAATAGCAACTGGGGGGCTGTGTAATTATTGTTCGAATGTTTATTTACATAGACGTATATTATTTAAAAATGTTATCTAACAGTCAAAAGCCAAAAATCCTCACCTAAGAAATTCAAAGGAATCTTTGGTATAGTTGCTGCGAATTTCATGACTAGAATTCAGTTTGTTGCGCGTTATTAACTTAAGTTTCGAGTATTTCAGTCAGAATTTTTAATAGCCAAAACACGCTTTTCTCTCACATTATTCGGAATGCGGCTCCTTCCATTGAGAAAAAGTTATTTTTGGCCTTTTAAAAAATTATACTTTTCAGCGATTTGTAAACAAAAATATCCTCACGATGACACCTATCACTGTCTAATAGCGAATTCTATTGGCAAAAAAGTGTAACACCGGTGTATGGTAATGAGATCAATTTAAATCATGCACTGGTGCAATCTCATTGGAATTCTTATTTTTGTCCTTTGGGTTAGGGATTTACAAGGAAAATGAGAATTCATCACAGAGTTTATAAAACAAATACAAAAATAATTGGCTATTTAGGAATAGTTAAAAATTTCAAAAAAACAGATTTCCAAGTTGCACTGGAGCACCACGTGATCCAGTGCAGATTGCACTTGGTGGAAAAAGTGCATCAGTTTTCCTGAAATTCGTAGGCCTGTTTGAGTTCTTATAAGATCGTACTAGTGATGTTTTAAAAAGCTCATTAATACTCTTTAGGGCCAAATTATAAATTATGGACTGACTGGTAGACGTCTGGTTGTTACCTAGCAAGTACCTATTTTCTATGGTCAGGATAAATAGAAAGTACCTGCTAGGTAACAACCAGACACTTACCGGTTGGTCCATAATTTGGCCCTTAATAATAGCTAGGTACTAATTTTTATTGAAAAAACGGCACTTTTCAAAATTTGGCTGACAAATTTGTTGTGAAAAATTAAAACCATTTTGAGCACATAAAAAAAAACAAAAATCTGGGTCGTAGATAAACTGTTGTATCTCGCACGTATGGTAACGCTCATTACAGCACGGTGTGTGTTACCAAAACTCTCGGTCTACGACCTCGTCGTGGCAATATTCCTCACTCGTTTTTGTTTTGAAGCTCATACCGTACTAATTAATAGGTCTGTTTCTGCAGAAATCACAAACCAGTCAGAGCGAATTTCATTGGTTGAAAAAAGTCAGAAACAATCAGAAAACTAGTTTCAACCAATGAAATTCACTCTGACTGGTTTGTGGTTTCTGCAGGAACAGACCTAATATAATAGTTATAACCCCACGAGTGCTGTAATGAGCGTTACCGTACGCGTGATATACAACATTTAATCTACGACCCAGATTTTTTTTTTAAATTATATTCAAAATTATTTTGATTTTTCACAGATTATCCAGTGAACTTCAAAGCTCGAAGCCGAAAGCAAATATTTCCTCAACAAGTAACAAGTAGGTAGGTACCTACTTTAAGCAACGTTGCAACCCTTTCTGGGATAAATACATTGTAAAAATTTATTTATTTATTTATTTATTTATTTACGGGCAAGACCCATTAAAGGTTTCAAACGAAAAAAACAACAAGAAACATTAAGTAGGTACCTTACAACTAAGTCAACATAGGCCAGTAATACTTGGCGTAGTGTATGCGGAATCACTAATGGAGTTCAGTACCTTGTAAAAAGTATATAAATCTCTTTGATTGCGTCTAGCTGCCAAGGGTTGTAGATTGAAGCGTCTGTATAGGTCATCATAGTCATATACATAGTTCTCAGGCGAAGGAATACCTGCCTTGAAGGAAATAACGTACGAATTTGCGCTGCACTAGCTCTAGGGCTCTGATATGATTAGAATACATCGGTGACCAGACAGAGGAGCAGTACTCCATCAGGGGCCTCACCATTGAGCAATAAAGGTATCTGATAGAATATATGCTTGTAAAATCTCTCGAACACCTCTTGATGAAGCCTACAAATTAGAGGTGGGAAACTATCGAAGAATCTAACTATCGATATATCGATAGTAACGAATAAAAACTATCGATGTATCGATATAACTATCGATGGTTTACGTTTTGGACCCATTTTGTATTTGGGGTTTCAGCAATTAGGAGATCAGGGCAAGGCAAAATGTTAATGTTAATGAACTCCAACTGTAGCGTGCACATGAAGGTCTGAGATGAAGGCTCTACCCCTACGACCTACGCCTTACGACTACGGCCTACGCCCTACAATACAAACACAACGAGACCTAGAGAAAAAAATGTAGTTAAGTGTAGTTTAGTTGTGTAGGTTGTTGTTGTCAAATGATGATAACAGGTAACATAACTAATCTTCATCTTTTTTAATTTTGATTTTAACTACCATACCATCAAAACCAAAATAAAAAACATCAAGGTTGATTGAAAGATGGTAGGTTGTCTGATAACTTTTATGGCGTCATCTGGAGTGCCTCAACATAATTCCAAATCTCCATAAGGCACCCCAGACCAGATGACGTCATCAAGTTACCCATTACCAGACAACCTATTAACTTTAGAAGCCTTAGAGCGGGTATTATAAAATTACTTCGAGAGTTAACTTAAAGTTAACTTCTGGAATTACATGTAATTCAAAAAGTTAACTTCAAGTTAACTGTTGAAGTAGTTTTATAATACCCGCCCTTAATAAAAGTTGAATGATATTTTTGACACTTGATATTGCTGTAATGAGAAATGACAGGAGAACTGCTATCGATTGTCCAAGTAGAACTATCGATAGTTCGATAGTGTATCAAACTATCGATATATCGATAATTACTATCGATAGTTTCCCACCTCTACTACAAGTTTTAACGACCGTTGTGATGTCTGAAATATGGGTGACAATTCCTCTCGGGGCGCGTTCAGATTGAAGAGTCCGGACGACGCCCAGTGAAGAGCGCACCCGATAGAGAGCGCACTCCGAGTGTGCCCGGCGATTCGCCCAATCTGAACGGCCAAGACGCATTCTCTCTTTATAACCTCACTGATTCTAACATTTTTGCCATTTTCTTCAAAATTTTTTAAATAAATACTAACTATGGAAGAAGCCATAGTATCTTCCTTCATATTTAAAGAGTTATTTAATGATGAGGACGCTTCATCTTCGGACCACGAGGATGTGCTAGTGTCAGTGATTGCTATCAATTTAGCATCACAAACTAAACAAAAAAAAAGAGGCCACTTTTTTTTTAAATAGAGTTGATGAGGATAACGAAGAATTTGGATAAACCCACCATAACTCGCAAAAATAATTATTTACAATATTTGCCTTTATTATTTAAGGTTAGAACACAAACGCGCATGCGGGGCAAATTTTATCTTGCTATTTTATGGGACGCAAAAGTGTGCGCCCGGGCGTCGTCCGGTAAAAATCTACTGACAATCTGAACGGCTGGGTAAATTTTACCCAAAGCAATCTGAACGGTCAGAACGCGCTCGGGCGACACCCGACGTTCAATCTGAACGCAGCCATGTATAAATAATCCCATTTAAACTGTCAAAAATTGTAGTTTGCTAGCGGATAAATAGGAAGGAAGAGAAAATATAACTAACTGGATAAAAAAATCGGATAAATTTTCTGTTGATGCAATCGTTACCATAGTAACAATTGCATATTAAATTGGTTTTTGAATCATCTGTCAAATAATTGTGTCACAAAAATTCACAAATTCGATCATTTCAGCCTCGATTTTAGCTTATTGAAAGTGTTTTGCTATCTGACATAAATAAATATTTTGTTTTGATTTCACATTCGTGGAATTGCCGTACTAAATACCATTCGAGCTCAGATTTTGAGCAGGATATTTTTTTGCTTGCTCTCTCAATTCTCATACTTACTTTCATGCAATTTATCTCGATCTGTTCAATAAAATCACTCGAGCTGCGCTCTCGTGATTTTGTCGGAACAGCTCTCGTTAAATTTCCTGAAAGTAAGTATTCGAGACCAAGCCAAAAACCATCCGGCTAAATCTGAGCTTTTATGGTATTACCTACGATAAAATTGAGACTGCTGTCAAAAATGACACCAAGATCTCGTTGTTGTGAGACAGTTTCAAGCGGAATGTTGTTTATATGGTAGGGGAATTGTGGAGGGCTACGACCCTTGGAGAAAACAATGACTTTGTATTTGGAAGCATTGAGCTCCATGCCGCTCAAAACGCACCACTCGGAGAGTCTGTCGAGGTCAGATTGTAGTCTGGCACAGTCTTCAATAGAAGAGACCCGAGTGAACACGTTTAAATCATCCGCAAAGCACAGGAACTCACTGTTAATGAAACAAGACTTGATATCGTTAATAAAAACGTTGAAAAGCAGAGGTCCCAAGTGAGAACCCTGTGGAACGCCCGATGGGATGTCAATTTCGTGTGAGAAGAAGTTGTTAACTTTGATTATTTGAGTTCTTTTTTTTTTTTTTTTTTTTTCTGCTTTCTTGTCGGAAACCACCACTGTGGTTTGTCGACAAAGCCTCCAACATCACACACAAACCAAATCAAACAAACAAACAAACATCCATGCACCTAGCCGGGATTCGAACCCGAGACCCACTGCATGCAAAGCGAAAACACAACCGCTGAGCTGCTTGGGTCTGCCCAAGATAGTCGCTAATCCACTTCAACAAAGTAGGTACCGGAGATTCCAGCACTTTCAAGTTTAGCAAGCAGAACGGCATGGTTGACACGGTCAAAGTCCTTTGCAAAATCGGTATATATGGAGTGAACTGATCCGCCATCCTCAAGAATTCTTGAAACTTTGTCCTGGTAGGACAGGAGATTGGTTTCAGTTGAGCATTTTGGACGGAAACCGGTCTGCTGCTCAATTAAGCCTAGTACTCATAACTGCGAAATTCGCATTTTTTTGACATTGCTTCGACAATTTGAAGTTTGATACACGCATAAAACGTCAAATTGTCAACGCAATGTCAAAAAAATGCGAATTTCGCAGTTATGAGTACTAGGCTTTAGACAGGGATTGATTTTTGGAGTTAAAAACTTTGTCACTATGCTCTCAAATACCTTTGGGAAGGTGTTTTGGATGCTAATGGGCCTGTATTTTGAAATATTCATTTTATCGTCCGATTTATGAATGGGTATGATGAAGCTCTGCTTCCAGAGCTTAGGAAATTCACCCAAACTAAGTGACTTATTGAAAAGAATGAAAAGTGGACGGGATAATACAAAGCTACAATTCTTTATCATAAGAGGTGGGACACCGTCTGGGCCTGGACCCTTAAAAGACTGCAGGCTACATATAGTTCTTCATAAATAACTGATATTGAGATATTAAATTCATGAATATGTGCATCGCTCCGATAGATGTCC